CAATGTCAGGAAATTTGGTGAGGTCCTTTGTAGATGCGATGTTCCAGAATATCTAACTATGATCCCCCGACTGCAGTCCTGACGCTGTTGGATAAAAATCTCTGTGCTCAAACCAAATCTGGCTTGTCTGGGGTTTTCTACACCGCCAAAGGATGTGGCACAGGACACCACAGCCTCCAGGATGCAATGTGGGTGGCATTCCTGAGTGTGATGTCTGGTTGGGCCTGCCTGGGTCAGGATTAGCTAAAGGAGGTCATGTTCTCAACCTAGAAGGCCATCTTGATTTCCTCTTTCTTCCCTTCTGCCCTGAGCACCATCTCCCAGTTCTAGCTAACTCATCCTGTCCATCAGGGGACAGCACTGCCATCAAAGCACACCTTCTTGTCCAGACAGGATGGCTTTCAGACAGAGTGTAGCCCACTCCCCGCCTCCAGTCAGACACTCTGACTCTAACAGTCAGCATTGCGCGTCAGGTCACCCTGGACAACCTGTTTCCTCTGTGTCTTCTTCATCTGAAGAAAACAGTTGTGGGTTGGAGTACTCTTCTCCACTCCTTCTGGATGCACGAGAAAGCCCGGCTCTCAAAGCCTAAAGGGAGACCTGGGGAGAAGATGGATTCCCCTCTGCCGCTGGAGAAGGAGGAGGAGGCTGGGCGAATCCCAGGGGGAGCAGCCAACTCCTCCTCGGATGGTGCAGCCCTCCTTATCTTCCTTACCTTTCCCCATCCTGTTCTGGCTACTCAGGGTCCAGACTACATGTTCACCTCTTGGGTACAGCTGTAACAGCACCACTTCCTGCCCTGTCTGTGAGAACCTTCAGTGCCAAGGCAGTGGCGGTAGTAGTGAGCAGAGAGGAGCTACAGATGGTCCAGCCATGTGAGAGCCACTTGTGTGAACTTTGACTCAATTTGGCAAAATGGTATCCAGCTATAACTCCTCTGTGTTCCCCCTTTTGTGGTGATGGAGGCCAGATGACAGTAGAGGGGTACGCGCCCAGTCCTCCTGGGAAGAGCAACCACACAGAGCTGCCAGAAGGAGAGAGTCTTCCCTGAGCTAAGCTGGAAATGCCCAATTGTCGTTTCCTCCCTGCTTTGCCACTGACGTCTGCAGCAGCTGATCAGGAAGGTATCGGATGCCCTCGCTGGCTGTCACCAACACCTGCTTCCTAGATCCTGATCTCAGAGATGGTGTCGTCAGGCCCTCTAAATAAAATATTTAGTGGCACTTGCTTCCCAACGAGGAAAGCACAGCCTCTCCTTGACATTGGAGCATGGCAGCGAAGATGTCACAGAAGCCCTTGCAGATGAGTCCCATGGTAGCCTGCCCCAGCTTGAGAATGGGGAAGGGAGGGAGAAATCAGTAGCTGAACAGAGTCCAGGCCAATTGAGGCTTTTGATAATGTACATGGCAAGTGGCTTCGTGAACCAGACAGAGAAAATGACTAGGCAGAAAGAAGAGGGCACTGTTACTAGAAAGCTCCCAAGGTTAACATTAGCAGAAAATTGGGGTTAAGGGGAAATTCGAGGTGCACAACAGCACAACCATATTTGCTTACTAGCTTCTACCAAACAGGGTGGAACATTCATTCTGAGACAGATGGTGGGCTAGATGGAGGTAAGGAGCTGGTAATATCAATAGACAAACTGCTAATAACAAAGGCTAATAATGCATTAGAAACACATCAAATGGCTGGGCACTGTCCTAACCACCTCGTAAGTACTGGCCAACTTCATCACAGTAATCCTGTGAGGTAGACAAGAGAACAAATCTCATTTTATACAGTTAGATGGTATCGCAGAATGGCCAGGTGCCCTGACCCGCAGGTCAAGCTCCAGCTCCATTTGAAGCCAAATGTCCAGCCTAGAGTGAAAGCATTTGCCCATGATGCCACACTGCTTCTTGTGCCACAAGAGGCCCAGCGGTGGGCGAAGCCTGAGCCTGGCCTGCTGGGTGCTGCTTTGGAGCAGCTTCTTGGCACCACCCACACTCGCACGGGAAGTAGGAAGCTGCCGGCTTGCCCTCAGACCCCACTCCCTATGCGCGCTTCCGAGGTGGGCCTCAAACTTCTCTCCTTCACTTGCTGCAGGGGACCATGCTTTGTCTAGAATCCAGTCAGTGACAGCTGCTCCCAGGCAGGCAGGCAGGCAGGCAGGCCCTGTGCCTGGTGGGACATACTTCCTGGCTGGTCATCAAAAGTACCCTGACCCGCAACAGGTGCTGCCAGAGTGGTGAGAGGAAGACAGGCCAGCTGCAACACTCTTGAGAATGCCTGGGCTCATCTGCCACAGCAGGTAGATAGGAGGGCCTCAGCCGCTGCAGGAAGCTGAAGGAGCCGGGCCTCGAGGCAGCGCTTCATCTGAGCAAAAGAATCTTACAGATTGACTCACTCCATGTCTTTCCTTTTACGTTCAGAAAACTGGGCTCAGGGAGAAGCTAGACAGCCTAACGCCACAGCACAACTCCTGAGTGACACAAGTACAAATTGAAGCAGCACTCCTGAGCACCCTCCCTCCAGCACCACTAGAGCTGAGGCCAGGTCCCTGCCTGCAGTCCACCTCTGCGAAGGCTGCACTTCCTCCAGGCTCCCTGCAGCTGTGGAGAGGCAGGGTAGGGAACTGTGCCACAGTAGACTGGAGACACTCCCCTTGGACCTGTTCTTTTCTTGACCACCTGCCACCCAGAGGAGCTCTGTCACTGGGTCAGGGAGGTGGAGGACCATAGGCCCACTCTTTCTGTCCCTCCTAAGCAAAATGCAAAGTCAGAAATTCTGGTGGGATGCCCAGAGTGCTGTCTCCTGGAAAGGCTTCAGTGATCGCCCAGGTGAAGCAGTCGCCGGGAGCCAGTGGCCCTGCTGGGGCGTCCCCTAGCTACCATGTCACCTTTGTTTTCTTGTGACAGCCAGAGCTAGGTACTGCAGTTATCCCAACCTGCCACATGGAAGCTAGGACTTGGCTTGTCCAGATTTCTTCCCAAATTTTGCCTGAAACAAAGGCCACTTGCTTTTTCAAGCTTGTCTTGGGAGGATCCTAAGCAGTGAGGTGAGATGGCTTTTGGCCTCACACCTTGTCTTTCAGTATTGTTGCTGCTCCACCCACAAGCCAACCGTAGCTGTGCACGTATATTTCAGAGAAGACAGGAGAAGCTGTTCTCAATTTCATGGAATCTTGCTTCAAAGAACACTTTGAAAAAGCACAGCATGGTGACCACTAGCCTCCTCCCCTCCACTCTCCGAAGGACACAGAACTTTCCACCTGAGACAAGAAGAGCTTAGTGACCCAGAACAGCCCCTTGTAAGGAACAACCCCTTGCAATTCCCTGTCTAGCTGGAGAACTTGAGCATTCTGTTATTTCCTTTCTGCAGCTCCTCTTGAGGAATTCACGTCCCACTACCGGCCTCAGGACGTAGCTCAAAATAACTTCTCATTTCCAAACCGAAAGCTCTATCTGTTGGGAGACTGCCGGTGTGCACTTGGTGCCGGAAGGGCTGTGTCAGTGTGGCTGAGGTCAGCCTCATGCTGCCGCCTTCCTCTTTCCAAGGAAGCCTGGGGCCTCATGAGTCACTCAGAATGCCCCAACAGAGCCTGCTAAGAGGAGTAGGGCTAGGTGTCTCCTACCCTGGTACCTTGACCCCTTCCAGGCCTAGAGTGCAGAGTTGAGGAGCAGGAAGCAGAATTTCTAAAACTGGGGAGACCCAGCAAGTGTTATCTGTTCTAATTATAGCCCAGTCCAGCTAGCTAGGGGAGTGGAAGGCCAGACGGACTGCTCCTAAGCTTCCTTGGAGCAAATGCTCCGTCCCTTGCCTGCGTGTGTCTGTCCTGGCTTCCTCCAGTGCTGAGTTCTGTCTGGACTTGTCCAAGAAGGGTGCCAGGTGATCTGTCCACTTGGAGCAAAGATCCCCCTGCCAGATGGCCCACTGCCTCCTCCTCCTGCCAGCACTGCCATGCTGCCACTGTCCCTGTCTAGAAGCCAGGAGCAGCCGGGCTGAGCAGGTGGATGACAGTGATGCTGCCTCCGCTCTCTGACCCCCACACCATGCCTGAGGTGGCTCTGCAGCATGTCTCCAGGAGCCCTGCTCCCCCACAGCTTCCTGGAGTACACACGGCAGGAAGGGAGCAGGGCTGGTGATGGCCGTGGACTGCCGAGTCCCCACTAATCCATGGATGCTCCTGCCGGCAGGAGGCATGGCGGCAGCTGGAGACCCTTGCCTTAACTTGCCTCCCTGTGCCCCCTGCATGTGTCCCCAGCCCAGAACTCCTGCTGCAGGGGACCAAAGTGGGCTCGGACAGCTGGGCGTCTTAGCAAGGGTGCAGGCTTCCCATGGTCCCAGCTCATCCTCCCCACCCAAGGGGTGCTATTGGCTCCGAGTGGCACGTGTGGGAGCTCCAGGCTTAGTAGCTACAGCATGCTTTTCTAACAAGTGTAGGAACTCTTTCTAGAGAAGAGACCAGGAGCAAGGAAGGGAACCAGAGCTCAGGGCCGGCCTGCTCCTCTCCTTTGAAGTGGATGGCTGAGCAGGGGAAAGTTGTGGGCAACGGGAGTCCAGAATACCAAGGAGTTTTCTTTGCATGCTCAGGCTCTTGAAAGAGCCTGGGAGAGGATCTTCTTAACATGCTTTCAGGAGGTAGGAGTGGTTTCCACTCACCTAGGGGAAGAGGCCACAATTGGGTGGGGAAGACTGGCTCTAGCCGAGACACCAGCATTGACTGGCTGCTGAACTCCAGCAGTCTTTTAACCTCATAAAGAGATAAAAAACGATGTTTTAAGAGGACAGAAATAGAGATTCTCTATAAAGTAAAAAAGAAAAAATATATAGTGTAAAAATAGATGAGAGGGTTCCCTGAACAGTCCTAAGCAGGCAAGAGTATGGTAAAAATAGAAAACCCAAACTACAGAAGGAAGAGGCACACAGAGCCAGCCAGCTTGGGGACCTTGGGCCCAGCATCCTAGGGGCTTCTCCTGGACCTTGCTTCTAATCTGACCACCCTGCCTTGTGTTTTCCAGAGCCATGTGAGGCCGACCCAGGAAGGCGGCAGAGATGAGCACCTGGGGGAGCTGCCTCCCAGTCTTTGCCCCCCTCAGGATGGCACAGAGGAAGCGCTGGCCACTGGCCCCGCGGACTGACAGCAGCGCGCCGGTGCTGCTCGCCACACTGTGGGTGCTGCTGGTGCCTGGGGCAGCCGGCATGCCCCAGTTTAGCGCCTTCCACTCTGAGAATAGAGACTGGACTTTCAACCACTTGACTGTCCACCAAGGGACAGGGGCCGTGTATGTGGGGGCCATCAACCGGGTCTACAAGCTGACGGGTAACCTGACGATCCAGGTGGCCCACAAGACGGGCCCGGAGGAGGACAACAAGTCCTGCTATCCGCCGCTCATCGTGCAGCCCTGCAGCGAGGTGCTCACGCTCACCAACAATGTCAACAAGCTGCTGCTCATCGACTACTCCGAGAACCGCCTGCTGGCTTGCGGCAGCCTCTACCAGGGCGTCTGCAAGCTGCTGCGGCTGGACGACCTCTTCATCCTGGTGGAGCCCTCGCACAAGAAGGAGCACTACCTGTCCAGTGTCAACAAGACAGGCACCATGTATGGCGTGATCGTGCGCTCTGAGGGCGAGGACGGCAAGCTGTTCATCGGCACGGCTGTGGACGGTAAGCAGGATTACTTCCCCACACTGTCCAGCCGCAAGCTGCCCCGAGACCCGGAATCCTCCGCCATGCTGGACTACGAGCTCCACAGTGATTTTGTCTCCTCCCTCATTAAGATCCCCTCTGACACCCTGGCCCTGGTCTCCCACTTTGACATCTTCTACATCTATGGCTTCGCCAGCGGGAGCTTCGTGTACTTCCTCACTGTGCAGCCGGAGACCCCGGAGGGGGTGTCCATCAACTCCGCCGGGGACCTCTTCTACACCTCTCGCATCGTGCGTCTCTGCAAGGACGACCCCAAGTTCCACTCCTATGTATCCCTGCCCTTTGGCTGCACGCGGGCAGGTGTGGAGTACCGCCTCCTACAGGCCGCTTACCTTGCCAAGCCCGGAGAGGCGCTGGCCCAGGCCTTCAACATCAGCAGCCAGGACGACGTGCTCTTTGCCATCTTCTCCAAAGGGCAGAAGCAGTACCACCACCCACCCGACGACTCCGCCCTGTGTGCCTTCCCCATCCGCTCCATCAACCTGCAGATCAAGGAGCGTCTGCAGTCCTGCTACCAAGGCGAGGGCAACCTGGAGCTCAACTGGCTGCTGGGCAAGGATGTCCAGTGCACTAAGGCGGTAAGGGGCTCTTCCTTTCCTGCTCCCTAGGCCCGTGGGCTGTGCTCCGCTGCCCAAGCCCTCTGCATACCCTGCTCCTAACCCTGAGGAATGGAAGCAGAGATCCAGGCTGCATTTGCCAGGTGGTAACCAACTAACCCAGACACTTGGGGGTGTATGATGATTCTTGGAATCACTCTGAATGTGTGTCTCGTGCACCTGACTGCACATGCCAAGCTCCCCACTTGTGGTCTTCCCTGCTAAGAGGCAGGATAAAGGGAAACATAAAGCACGTAGTCGGGAAACAGTGATCCTTGCCCGCTGTAAGAGGGAGAGGCCATGCCTGAGATGACTGGCTCACTGAAAGGGGTGTTCTAGCAAGAGAGAGAAGGTGTCTAAGGAACGCACTCCAAAGATCAAGCAGCAAGAAGAAATGACTCAGAACTCAACTTTGAGGACAGCCAGGAGGCTACTATAGCCTGAGCCGAGCCTGAGGGAGAAGGCAGAAAATGGGATGGGTCAGAGGTGACAGGACCAGAGCATGGGTGTGAGGCCACTCTGATGGTGAGTGAGGGGTTCCAGTGGGCATCACATATCTGAAGCAGAGGAGAAGGAAGGAAGTGCAGTTTGATGAAACAGTTTGAAAACTGGAAGAGCACCAGGAGTCTGCCAAAGGGTGAGAAGGGAAGGCTGTCCTCAGGACTTAATCCTAAGGACAGTAGACAAAAGAAAATCAGTGCTACATGCTGGCAGAGGGGCAGGGTGCTCCCATTACAGTACTTGCTGTGATCCACCCATCCTTTTGACCTCCTACCTTCTACCCATCCATTTCTCCTCCTCTCCTGTCTACTTTCATCTTTCTGGGTCAAGACGCGCCTCCTTCTCTTAGTACCCACGCTTTCATTCTTCCATTCTTCTGTCCATCTAGCCCTCCCATTTTCTTCTCTGTCCATTAATCCATTCTTCCATCCATCCATTCATTCTTCATCCATCCATCTTTCCTCTTTCTCTCCCTTTCTCCAGCACTGACCCTTCTACTCATCCATCCTTTTATTCAATAAAAGGGCACTGAAGGCCATCTGGTGCCTAGCACTATAGTAGTCACTGGGGATGTAAACGTAAAACACTACTATGACCACTTCTCTCACAGGTCACTTAATCTAATGAGGAAGAGAAAGAAATTACTTAAAATAGCACCTAGTAACAAAATGTAGCAAACATGAGTTTAGGCTTCCATGACTACGCAAACTTGACCAGGGTCCAAGTTAAATCTGTGCTGCTTCCTGCTCCAGAATTGACTGAGTATCTCTACCTTTCCATCTGTGAAATGGGAATCATAATGCTCCAGCCATGGGATGATCAGGATGGAAAGCATATGGGAGACTAGCACCATGCCTGGGGTATTAGTTATCTAATGTTAGGACCGTGAGAAGGGCTAAGAATAGGTTTCTGTGTAAAGGGCTATGGGCTTTCACTCTGAGTCTGGGGGGAAAGTGGAGACTGAGGCCCTTGTCACCATCTGCATGGTCTGAATGGAAGGTGCCCGATACTGGGACCAGGTCGCGCCTGAGCCAGGCCTCTTCTCTCGTCATCATGTGCTTGGAGCCTAGCAGGTTACACTGCAGCTCCATTCTCCCATTTGTGTCCTGTGTGGCTTGGGGCAACTTATGTACCTGGCCCGATCCATAATTTTTTCAATTTTAAAAATAGAAATAATCTTGTCCTCATTTTGTAGTTATTATGAGGATCAAAGAGAAAATTTATGTGAAATGCTTAGCACAGTGCCTCGTGCATAATTTCAATAAATGAGCAATGCTAATTATTAATGCTAATCATAACAGCCAGTTATTTGCTTACTTGCCTCACTGTTGTAGAATGAGGCAGCTGGACCAGATAGCTCCCAAATTCCTCTCTGACGCTTACCGTTTGTGACCAAATCCCCTAAGCAGCTGCCAGGAGCAGAGGGGAGAGGCTAGGGTTAAGCCAGAGCGGAATTTAGCGGTTCCCATTGCCCAGAGGGCCCTTGTCGGAGGAAACTGCTGATTCCTGCCTGCTTCAGAGCCAGAGGGAAGAGGAAGAGGACACCCTGCCCTGCTCCAGTGCCGTGCAGAGACAAGCCTGGGCTTGTGACCAGAGGACAGCAGAGGCACTGGAGGAGAGGTGACATCTAGACTGAGCAGGACCCAGAGAGGATAACTCCTCACTTCGCTGCCCTCTGACCCCTGGGGTACAGCCTGGACAGCAGGGGACCCTGTAGAGGGTGAAGGATCACTGAGAAATTCTGTGGCCCTTGAGCCTGACTTTAACATAATCTCTGGACTAACATAGAAATTGAAGTCAAAGATTGGAGCTTTATCTCAGAAAAGGGGTAAAGGAGAGGGAGAAAAAGACCATGGCCACCAAGTCAGTGATGGACCAAGGCTGGGCTCAGCCATTTAAGGGCTGTCTCACCATATCATTGCAGGGACCCGATGGACCCCATTTTTCAGATGGTAACACATACACTCACCAAAAACTAATATGAAAACGGTATAAACAAGAAAGCAGGAATGTGCATTCCATGCAGTTCCTACGACTCGAGTCCAAGCGCACTGTTGGCCACCCTGCTCCGAGGAAAGCCAACCTTCCAGGTCTTGCTACTTCAGCAAAAGTAGAGAGGCACAAGGTGGGTAGGAGCATCTCAGACAGCATCTTGAGAAAGAAATTGTAGAGAAAAATAAATCACAGCCAATCCCAGGGGCTTGGCCTTAAAACAGCCTTTTCCTTTACAGTCCTGCAGATTTTAGAGTCAGGAGGGATGCAGAAAAATCCACAATCCCCAGCAAGAATTTTCCTTCTGTCACCATTTCTCAAACGCTGGCTTGGGTTATAACTGTGTATGGGCTCTCTCCATTTCCCAGGGAACAGACCCCATCTCTTATCCATGGAGAAAGGGGGGAAAAACAGAAGCCCTGAAATCAGTGCCTTAGGAAAGGGAAGCTAGAGGATGACCTTCTCCAGGTGACCCAAGAAAACTGAGGCCCAGAGAGGGCGTGTGACATTGTCAGGGTCGCTGAGTTGAATAGTGGTAAAGACAGGACTAACACATGGCTGACCTGGCTCTGAATGGGCAGCTGCTGCGTGAGGTGCAGGATGGGGGTCAGGCATAGAAAATATAAAAGGTAGTAGCTGAGTACTTGGTCTTGCCTTTCTAGGGAGTAGTTTTCTTACTGCCCCACTGACATGCTGGCAACATGTAGATGATTGACTGTCTGCAGGCCCTGGAAGGAGAACTCAGTTGGTAGCACTGCTAATTCCCCCGGTGTAAATACCCGACCATGGTTGATTTCCAGCACCAATGCAACATCCCCCAGTGCTGCCTGCAGCATGCTCTTGGGACTTCCCTTCCTGAGAGGCTTGTTCCTTCTGCTGTGTGCAGCTTCCTGGGCCCCAGGCCCCAACGTCTTCCTTAGCCTAGAACTTGGTAGCACTTCCTGAAGGATACAGCTACACCCAGTGCAGTGCCACCATGCCAGCCTGCAGCAGGAGAAACTGTTCTTCGCAAAACACTGAGGTATCCTAAGAGCCTAAGTCCCTGTTCCCTGTGGAACTGAAGAAATGGAAGCAACATCTTTGGCTTTACAGAAAATCATATACTGTAGCTGATGAACCAATTATTCCAAGGAAATGATGCTGTCACCAAGCAAAGTGTCAGCCTGCTCTTCCCTGGCAAGGTTGAGAAATGGAGATTGAGGGGTGCAAGGACTGCATCTCCACGCTGATTTCTATGCTTCCAGCAGTAGTTTCCCAGACCCAGAGGGAGCAGCTGTCCCAGCCTAGGGCTCTTCCTGGCCCAGTCTGCAGCCCCTGCCACAGGAGTCTGAGTTGTTGCCAGGCTCCACTGCACTCAGACCAGCCATCTGGGGGTGTCTTGGATGGTCCATTAATGTATTCCCACAATCACAGATCGTACTGATTGGTGAGTAGCTTAGAGTTCCGTGGGTCCCAGTGAGGATCTTGGATAGTCCAGGCAACAATAGTCTGACCAAGAAGCCAAAAAGAAACCCTCTTCGGGCTAGTGGCAGTGGTGTGTCATTGCCTCTAGGCAGACTACCCTCTGAGGAGGGGTTTGTCCCAGGCAGAAGGGTACTTACTCGCAGTGCTATGGTCCTTGTGGATGTTAAACTAACCAGGATATGGGCTCCAACATCCAGCTGTACAAATGGGGCCTGGATCTCCTGGAAGAAGGGTGGGTGTGGGGACTCCAGGTGAGTGGAGCAGCTGCCCATTCTTCCTTCCAGGTCCATGGGAGGTGGCATATTCTGATCCCCTGAACCTCATCCCCAGGCAAGGGCCTGTAGTCTGGCAGGGGTGGGAAGGAATGATCTGAGGTGGTAGATGCCACCTCGCCTTTACAACACTCACCTTGACTCCACTCCCCTCTGCAGCCTGTCCCCATTGACGACAACTTCTGTGGACTGGACATCAACCAGCCCTTGGGAGGATCTACCCCAGTGGAGGGCCTGACCCTGTACACCACCAGCCGGGACCGCATGACCTCCGTTGCCTCCTATGTTTACAATGGCTACAGTGTGGTTTTCGTGGGGACAAAGAACGGCAAACTGAAAAAGGTAAGGTTCTGTGTGTGACTGTCATCACCCCATCAGGTCCTCTACCTGAGAGTCCTTTTGAGAAGTGGCTGGCAGTAGAGATTCAACTGTAGGCACCTGCCTTTTCTTGGGAGCAAAGATGTGGAACAGAGAGGGAGGCAAAGGTGATCTTGTTGGCTTCTCTTCACGCAGTTTCCTGCAGCCATCAGCCAGTGGGTCCCTGGAGGGTGTGAACCTGTTTGCATCCTGCCAGACCTGGAAGACTTTCTAGGTACCCTGAACAAAGGGCAAAAAAATCACTCTTCATTCTCAAACCAAGTGGAACTTATTTTTTAGTATTTACATCATGAACACCCCCATTTTAAATCACTCCCTGGGATATATAGAGTTGACTGTACTGGTGAAAAGTTTTCAGTGAATTGACTGAAGTTGGTTGAAGCAATTATGGCTGGTAGTCCTAAAATCCTGCCTAGGTGCCGCCTCCCTATGGTATAAGGCTCTCGCCCACTCACCTGACCCTCTCCTTCCTGCAGTCTCAGACTCTCTCTTCCCACCTCAATACCCAAAGCACAGCTCCAAGAGGAAGCTGGCTTCTTGTTCTGTGACTTTGCCAGCTGCAGGGAGCAGGCTGCCTGGGCTGGCAGCACGGAGGAGCCCTGCAGCCCAGTGGGCTGAGCCCAGCGGCTTGTACTTGCTTGTCTCCAGTTTAGGGTGCTGAGAGGCAGGACAGCCTGGTTCATTACGTGGGATTACAGCAGCGACATGCTTTCCAGCCCCAGCTAATCCCCTTTCCCAAGTGTCCCCTCCTGCCACCTCTCAGCATCCCACCACCTGTGGAGCAGGAAACAGACACCATCTTGCTGCGTCTCCCCACTTCATGTCCCCATCATCCCTGCAGCTCCTGCCTCCTGATCCACGTGGAGCCTTGGGGAGCCTGTTGTCTGGGAACATGTAGGAAGCACAGCTGGGAGAGGGCCTGAGGAGGAGTTTCCATGTTGTTTGTTCTGAGTTACCTCCGAGGAGGCCTAAGGGACTGGTCTGTATTTATGAGAAGGCGCTGAACCTTGCAGACATCTTAGGATTGCAAAGCCCCTTGGCCGTTTCCTCATTCTTGTTGAGGGTTCCTACTTGCCCATGTCCTGTGTCCTCCTCTGAGGACCCTGGCTTGCTTTTCAGCACATAGAAGAGAGATGAGTATGGTCCTTCCATTTGCTTTCCCAAAGCAAAAGAGGAAAGCAGTCATTAGAGGAGAGTCCACTACAGTTGAAAAGTGCTATATTCTACCAGATGCAGTTCTGCGTGGACCCCGAGGCTTGCTACTTCCTGCTCAGCCAAAGGCGCTGCATCCAAATAGACAAACTGTACCCAGCACAGGCCTGGTGGGGGCTGACAGCCAGCCCACACACTCCTCGTCCTGGTCATAAGCCCTGTGGCTTAGAACTCTTCCCTGTGAGGCTCCTCTCAGAGTGTCATCTGCCCACAGGGACCACATCTTTCTGAGTGGCTCAAAACCCTGATAAGGGACAGCAGCGGCCAGACCTAGGCTGGTGCTTACTGCCTTCCCCTGAGCTTTTCCCTCACCTGCAGTCCCTGGAGACAGTTAGTGTGACTCTGGCTCCTTTATTCTCTTGAAAGTTCTATTAAAGGAAAATCATTCATTCATACTTAGACCCTTCCTTTTCTTATTGCGTTCAGCAAGTGTTCACTCATGGGATAGCCTCCAGCTGTTTTGAAAATGAATCATTCTCTAAGAAATCTTAGGGATCATCCAGCCCAATACACTCAGTATTCACTGAGGAAACTGAGGCCTGCAGAAGAAAAGTGACTTGTGCAAGCATAGAGGTCTAGGACAAGTTGCTTCTTGCCCTCCTGTCCCCCAACTTGACACCTTTTAATCTAAGGAAACAGTTTTGGAAACCACTAATAGAGACCAAGAAGGATCTGCAGGCCCAGGCTTGCTGCAGAGTTCAGCCAGGGGCTGATGCCTCCACTGTCTTCAGCCTCAGACCAGAATGAAAGGGGCTGGCAGAAGGGACGCAGGGAGATGCGGAAGGGAAGGATGACCAGCCAGACTTCCAGGGGTGCTGTTCTGCCCTCTGCTGTCCCTGGGCCTCTTGCACAGAACACACAGGAGGGCTGCTTGGCATCTTTTCAAGCCACACACCCAAGCTGGCCAAATTCTCGCAGCCCTGCAGGAGCCGCGGCAAACAGTGAGGCAAGTCCGGGGCTCCAGGGTAAGGCTGGGGGCGTGGCTGCCCACGGCTTGCTGCAACCTGTGAGCTGTCTGCTCTTCTTACTGTTCCCTTGGCCTTTCTCCAGCTGCTTCTATGAGCTCACCGGACCCAGCCCCCTCCTTTGAGCAACTCACCCTTTTCCCACCCACACAGCTCTGAGGTACCTGATACACTCTGGCTCCTGCTGGCCTCCTGCTCACCCAGTCTCTTGCTCCCCACCCTCTCCAGGGAAACAGCCCATGCGGAATTTGTGGAATGTCCCCAGGAAACCCTTACCAAGGCTTAGGCTCCATAGCTCTTTCAACACAGGAAGGAAAATAAAGAAAAAAATAGCTAAGAGTTTCAAGAGGGGAGGGAAGCCGGGTGTGTCAGAGCTACTCACTTCTTCCCTGCTGGCCAGGCGTCTGTCAGACGGTTCAGCCCTCATCTAGGGATCCTGTAGGAACAGGATGTCCTCATGGAGAAGTTCAGAGGAAGCAGAGACTCACTCAAGTGGCATGGCCACCAGGTGCTCTGGGCGCTGTATCCCATCCTTGCCCACACCCTGCTCTCGGTGGGACACACAGAGTATGCCCATGCTGTAGGCCAGACCATGGCCCTCCAAACCAGAAGCAGGTGAAAAGGACAAACTGAAAGAGGATCCGACCTCAAAGCCAAGATGCACAGGGCTTGATAGACTAGGTTCAGGGCCTGGGGCCAACCACTGCTAGAAAAAAGAAGTTAGAGATTCGCCACAGGGCTGAATAAGGCAAGTAAAATTAGCAACTAAAGTGTGCTCATCCTCATAGGGGAAGATTACTAGGGCCCGTTGAAAACTGGTTGAGACAAAACTGTTGAGTGAGGGTGAAAGGGAAGGACAGTCTAGAGCTCAGGTGCTGTATCAAGCAAGTACAGAGCACACACCGAGAAGGTCCAGAGCACACAGAGGCTCCAGAAATTGTGGACAGGAAGAAGGTGGGGGAGCCCTGGGTGGCCCCAGGCCCCCATGGAGTTGCATGAGAAAGATCCTGGTGCAACATATGGTGACCACAAGGTTGCCATGAGCTAGCTGTGTGATGCTGCTTCAGAGAAGTTGATGAGTCCTCAGTCACCACATCAGTCAGACAGCTTCCGGATCCTGAGTGCCAAGGACTGTACTGTAAGGTGGGAGCCACAGGGTATGATGCGCAAGATAAATCAGGGTTGGAAGGAGGCGGCACTGTGCTATGTGAAGGGTATTTTCCAAAAGATATTAGCCCAAAAAAAATAGGATAATGCAGGACAAAAGGAAGCTCTCCCTGGATCCTGAAACTTAGTGAATACTTACTACATCAGGTGTTATTTTAAGAGCTTTCTAACTAAACTCGTTTGGGCATAATTAGTAGGAAGTAGCTTTCTGTTATCATTCCCGTTTTATAGATAAGGAAATAGAGGCCAAGAGAAGTAAAGAATGTGTCAAGAACACTTAGCAATGTGAATGGTAGAGCCGGGACTTGCGCCCTGATCCTTCAGCTCTACAACTTGCATACGTAGCATTAAGCTGTGGAAGAAGAATTAGACCTAGTCACTGTGGCCCCAGAGGTCAGCACAGGCCCAGTGAGTCCAAGTTCCTGCAAAGCAGTTTTTCCCTTAATGTAGGGAAGGACTTTTTAATAAACAAATTTTCCCATAATGGAAAGAGTTGACTCAAGAGGAGGGTGAAAGGGAAGGACAGTCTACACCCAGGCAGTGGAAATGGCCAATCAGGGAAGCCGTGACTCTGGAGCCATTTCTGCTTTGAGCCCTATGATCTCTCTCATGATGTTGCCTCTCTCTGACTCCTGCAGTGCAGGATGTGACAAAGAGTACAGGCTGAGATAGAAAAGAGAAGCAAGGAGAGGAAGACCAAGGCACCTACCTGTGGGGTCTGAAGATAAGGCTGGGTTGAGCCTGTCTGCCATGTGGCAGAAAGCCTCTCCGGTCTGGGAAGTGCTTGGCACAGACAGGACAAGGTATACCCAAGATTATGATGGCAGGAGGCCTGGGACAGAATGCAGTAAGGGGAAGGCAGGGTACCCGGGAACCCAGCCATGATGGACCATGATGCATCCCTCCTGGGGAAGGGCAAGCTGTGGGAGTCCAGTGAGACATGGAGGTACAGGTGGAGGAAGAGTGGCAACAGGAACTGGAAACTCACTGTAGATGACTATCCTGGTTTTGAGGAGAAGCCAAGGAGGCCACCCAAACGTAAAGAATGGGACCAGGAGTGAAGGGACCACACCGGGCAGGTAGACAATGCAAGAGGATGAGTGGAAGGACTGGTCCAGTTTCAGGGTAAAGCCACTCAGATTTCTTCCCACATGTGCAGCTATAAAAGCTGCTGCATTGGGCCTGATTTCAAATTCCTGTTGGGCCCCTTGCAGAGGCCGAGGTGAGGTTCTGCCTCAGTTCTTCAGCCCCTTGGCCCTGGGAGCCTTATGTAGCTGCAGGAGCTGCTAGCTCCCCACTCCCTCTCAGCCTCAGATCCCCTACCTAGTGCTCCAGGACTGTGGCAAGTGCTTGGCTACATCCCTTCCACAATTATGAGTGATCCCTTCCTCACACCTCCCTGTGTCTGACTGGGGAGTAATGCCAAGGCACACACCTCTCTGGAGAGTCACAGATCCTTGGAGCTGGGACCTTCTTTTTTCATACACATGTCATCTAGTCCCTGCTGCTAGATCCAGTGCCTCTCATACATTCAGAGCTTGTGAAATCTGTCTCCAGTGCATCGGGGTTCTACCGGCTGTGGGACCCTAATTGCACTGAATAGAATGGAATCAGACAAGC